ATATTTAATGCGGACTAACTGTACAAGACTTTTACAACCACATGCTGTAAAAAAACCCTCAATTAAAATTTTTCGAACAAGATAGAGAAGACACGAAGTTAATTCCAATATTGCTGAGACTTGACGATTGAACTTAATTACGAGTCCAGCCATACATAAACGTTTCTATTTAACTTAAACTTGTTCATAGACCAATAATTAAAAGCATTAGCAGGCATGAGTTAGCTGCTAATAATGAACACAATCAGCGGTTAATCAAAATAATTAACTGTAAAGAATCAACAAAAGAAAAGAAAGAATCAAAGAATCAACATCATTTCGATGTTTATCTGTGTTTTTTTACTCAATCAAAACATTTTAATACGCGATTGAAAAACATGCGGGTCACCAATATAAAAATTCTGTCGAAACACCTGTCAGAACTTTATCCGTGATTTTTCCATTGATAAATTCAAAGAACAACGTTGACAGAAAAAATTTTTCATATTATTTTGCAATTGTTTATTCCGTTCATAATTATATAACTGCATAAGCGCATTACTTACGCCAAAGTGCAGTCAGCGAAACTATCGTTCGTAACTATCGTGACCACGACAGGGAGATATGTGGGACGTGTGAGTACACCTGAAGGTAGTTTTCATGAAATACAACTTATGTGTATTCCGGTGAAAATAAACTTGTTTCTCTCGACATTTTCCCACCGCTGATCTAATACGAGTTATTTTAATAAAAATTCTAAGACTCATCATTGTCTACATGTAATTGAGAGGAAGCTTCAAATTGAATACAAAATTAGTTAATTACACAAAGAATAAGAATGCTCGGTTCCAAGCACCAGCATATTTCGGGTGCAGTCACAACGAACGACTCATAGTCGATCAGTACCAGTGCATTGACAGTATCGCCTTGACCTGCTGAATGACAACACACTCTATTGATTGACTCATTAATATGCATCCTTTGCGTCACCACGCGCATAGCATTTTGCTGCAATCGTATGCTATTGTTTGAACAAATATATCGATTTAGTTTAAACGTTCAGCTATTGTTCGTACTCAGTTTGTCATGGGAAACGTCGTTGAATTGCAGTAAAAGAATCGCACATGATGTTCATAAGCTCAGAAATAATAATTTTATGAAGAGCGTTTCGCTTGAAATAAAATTTGAGGTAAACGAATGCAATAAACATCTTGTTAGAAACTAGAAAGAAAGTAGTGCAAAAACTAAGAATAATTCGTTCACATCTACGGGGAAATTCTCTAGTCAAACACCGACACCATTATTTGTAATATTCTTCAATATTCTATCCACATCTACTTGAAATATTTCCTGTATTCTGCTGTCAATAAAGAACAGTGAATAATAAATTCAGGAACTGAGTAAAACAATATCATCACCATGATAACAGACGCTTCAGGCGTGAAAGCAAATATTGCGATCAATAATCCAGCTCTGCTGTCGGGTGATAATGCTGGTGTATGGAACAGAAATGGTCAAGCGCTGAATGGAGAGAGGACGATGTTGCAAATAAGAACCTAATTTACCTGAATATTTCAGGTTAGCGATGCTTCACGATCAAATTAAAACTAGAGTTTCGCGTCTGCATATGGCGAGCTCAGTCCAGAATTCAAAAGTTCCATTGAAAAGAATCTGAGTTGAGATCGTCGATGGTTGTGTAAAAATACTGAGTAAAAATCACAGTACTAAAATTAAGGTTGAAAATCAGTGACGCTGAGTAGGTACTCAAAATCATGCAGTATTAAACACATTTGGCTAAGAAACTTCAAGACTTCATAGTATACCTACGTGGGAAAAATGTTTTTCTTTAAGTATAAGGCGTCGGTCGTTATTAGATCTCAAGTACAGTAGAGTTTAAATTTGTATGGTGGGACTTGATTGCACAAAATAATGTGTATAAAAATAAACAAAAAATATTTGCGCGTAAATATACATTTCTAGAATATATGATCGTATTTTCTTCATGAATTCATGCGAATCCTCCTCAAAGTTTTGGATTTATAAACATGACAGTGGATACATGTACTGTGCGTGGAGCTTTAAATAAAATGCCCAACATGAATGGGATTCGCGAGTAACGGATCAGAGCTAGACTTGCGTTCACCATTAGGATTTCTTTGAAAACTTGGAACCAGGTTCTTTGATGCAGGCAGGGCTAACAATATGGACAAGCAAGACCAATCACTCTCGACCTCCACATAGGCCCTTCTTTCTGCGGCGTCTGATATCTTCTTCAGTAAAGCACATCGATTAACTGCTTAAGAAGAATCACAAAGTTTAGTTTTCGTTGTATGGTAAGCGGCTGGTTCTTGAAATGTCGTCCATTTTGTTGTTTCTTCTTCGCTGTCGAGTCACTCAAAATTTGAGCAACGAATAATTCAGGACCATTCCAAATGAAATTGGGTCGTCTGTCCTGCCTATGTAGATCATATAGGCTTTTCGAGTGTCAAATTCCGCATTCACAGAAAAGCGATCGAGCAACTTAATGTGAATATTAGAAGAACGTTTAATCATTGCGCAATAATCATCTGATGCATGCAAATTCTCCTATTTATACTCAAATTACAAACACACCAGCGCATCAATGGAAAAGTATTATTTCATGAAATTCAGATATACAGTTGATTAAAAACACAAAAAATCATAAATTTAGAGTTCGTGATAAGCGTAACACATTCTTGTCCTTATGACCGATATGAAATATCACTTGAAAATCAAAGACATCATACAACAACATATCTCTTCCCTGAGTAAACAATACTATACTGTAGCAATGTATTGATGGTCCCAGCTAAACGACATAGTCGCACACACATTAAATGAATGTGTGTGCAGTAGTAAGATCTGCTAGCTTCCTATATAGAGAATAATATGCAGTCAGAGCATGATATAATTAAAGTCTGGGTGTACATGATATTCAAATTCTTCAATCCTAAGTCTAAATGAAGAAATAATCTGAAGTTATAGATGAACGCTCTAATTCAAAAATATTTTCAAGCCATTAATCCCACATGCGCGGCACAGCGGCAGGAAGAAAAACACGCTTAACATAATAGCCTAAAACTGGCTTGCATGTAAATCTGCTGCCAAGGAAAGAGCTCCTCTCACAAGTCCTAAGAGCCACTGGGCTTACAGAGTGCCTGCAATGAAAACAGAATTTAGAGAAGGAAGAAAAATAAGATGACCTTACAATGGTCGCCCTGCACTTGGCCAGGTCATCAACACAGACGTTAAGAATCGTATATTTTTATTAGTCATTTGAGTTGCAAGAGGAGAGCATGCAACTTTAGATTTATTGTATATTTTTCATACAATGAAGGTAATTAAAGAATTTCATGAAAAATTCGAAAACAATATTGCGTCGTCAAGATAACATCAGGTGCAAACTAGAATGTTTGTGCACTCCCTGAATCACGCACACGTGTGGAACAGATGTTGAAATAGAAAATTATGATAAGTTAAGGTTGACCCGTGACACAAGCCTGTAATTTTGCGGACTAGAGAGCAATACATTGGAATTGCAGTAACATAACAGTTTTTGCGAGATGAATATTTGATGAATAGGACAACATTGTAGTTGTAGTACTCGTGCCCATGGTTGTTCCTGTCGCCTTTAAAATGTCAATATTCCCGTATTTTCCTGTTTTCCACCAAGCCTGGATTCATCCAACTGGCAGCCAGAGCTCAATATTTTATCTTATCTCGGTATATCTTGCCTACCACACATATCGCCCTCTAAGCCAGGCTAGACAACGCTTAACCTAAAGCCAGTTTAGCTTCATTTCCGAGTCACTTGTGCTGGTGTAACAATGATCTATCAGGAAACAACTGTGCTTGTGACCTAAGGTTCACATGCATGTCACCGATAAGTTGCGAGAGGTTACAAGACGACTTGTCGACAATCTATGATTGGGCTCTAGTGAATAAAATGCAATTCAACGGCACCAAGTTCGAAGTAATGAGACACTGAGTTGGCAGAGACCGGGATGTCGCATTGCTACTTGGCATCAGATGGCACAGAAATTGACGATAAGCAACTTGTTCGAGGTCTCGGAGTGTTGATGTGTACTGAAGCCACGTTCGATAACCACATCAAGGAAATAATTGCGCGAGGCAGACAGAGGATGGAGTGGATCTGGCGGAGATTTTGAACAAGAGAAGCAGCGCCAATGATTACACTCTTCAGAGACCTAGTGCTCCCCAATCTTAAATACTGCTGTCAGCTTTGGGCACAGCTCAAGGCAGGTGCGGTGCGGAAACTGGAGGCAGTGCAGCGGACCTTCACGTACGCAGGATCAGCGGCATGAGGGAGCTTGACCTGAACTACTGGGAAAGGCTGAAACAGCTGAGACTGTACCTACTCACTGGAGAGAAGATAGAGGCATATCATACTGTACACTTTGAAGATGTTAACCGGACTGGCTCCCAACTTTGAATGTGAGACATCCAAAATTTTGACGTATTACAACGAAATGAGGGGGAGACTGCAGGATTCCCCCATTCAATAACCGTGCCGCGGCCAGAGTACAGACTCAGCGCGAGGGATCACTGTCCGTGGTAGGATCAAGGCTGTTTAAATCCTTACCAAAGGTGTTGAGATGAGGGGAGTTTAACCTTGCGATTTTCAAGAGACAACTGGAAAAGTTTCTGAAGAAGATCCCGGATTGTCCAGTTTGAGAAACTACCCTTAGCAAGTGACAAGCAACAGCACCTTGCATCAGCTGGTCAAAAGGAGGGCAAGTAGACGGGGCACGTCCAACGTTACACCTGAGACCCGAGGGCGGGTTGACCTGTCTATCGACGACTCGGAGACAGAGGACGACGAAGGCGGCGCTTCAGCGTGACCGGGGACTAGGAAGTCCCGAACTCGTCATAAGGTCAGTAATGGAAAGATCGGGTTCATCAGCTTGACCATGGACTGAGAAGTCCTATACTCCTCATAAGGTAATACATGCCCCTATGAAATAATAGTCATTACTCACCAGTTTTGAGCAGGATCGTACTCAGGCCAGTAGGTGTAGCGGTCTCCACATTGCAGTTGTGGCAGAGGTTGCACTTCATAATCTTTTCTTGGTGCGACGGCCTGCAGCTGCTGGTGGTGAGGTGGGCGCATCACCGACGCGATAGGTTTACCCCCCGGACCTAGACCCCCTTGAACGCTCGTAGACCCACTTCGAAATCGAGAAGACCCAGGATTGACTGATGTGGTGGTTGTCCCTGGGGTAGGAATAAGCCGTGGACCTAGACGCGACCGAGAGCCGGTGGCAGTGGCGCTTCCCGTTGTCGGGGCAGTTGTAGCAGAAGAAATGTTGTCAGGCTGCGAATGGTCTCGGGAAAATCGACGGGTTGGATTCAGACTGAGATTAGTGACACTTGTCGTCACGTCAGCCACCACTTGTTGGAGTGAACTCAAAAAACTCATCTTGAATTCACGGTCGTCTTTGTGATGAGATTATAAATAGGATTCAATAAATATTTCAATCACATGCGTGTGTCAGAACAACTTTCAAATTAATGAATATCACATAGATTTGAGCTCTGGTTTCATTTTACGGGATTTGATTCGTAAGTGAAAACTCGGAATCATTCGTCTTGAAACATAGTCAATCATATACTAACTTTCTCTGCCTATACCGGTACTAACCTATTCAGTGTTCATGACTAAATTGATTTCATTTCTAATTAAGTTGACTTGAATAGTTACTGATAGCATCTAAATGAACTTAAAAAATGCTGGAGAGAAATAAGGTACAAGGGAGATTAAAAAATTTAATACTGAGCACTGAGCAGTAAGGTGTGGGAAACAAGAGGCCACATAACGCACTTCGATATACTGTTTTGAGTTCCAATAGTTTTCAGATCTAATTTTCACTGTCAACTCCTTTCATATGACTGGTTAAAAATGATAGATAAATTCCCAATACCACGTAATTAATTTTGAAGGTATCTATATACTTGAGCGAATTCACGTGCTTTCCTCAATCTATTTCACGCATAATCATGAATAAGGTCAACATTTCTGCAAATGAATTCTGCATCAGATTCTTATATATCATCATCATGCACTGAATTAAATAAATGCACAGTTGCAAAACACCAAATAATGTAGTCTAGCACTAGTATAGCTGGCACCATTCAACATTTGAAAACATTTAATGCTGGTTTAAAAGTAACAGAAACAGAACAGCAATACAAACGCATATTACTCATATTAATCACCGATCACATAACGTAAAACATGCAATATGGACGTGCTGTGACCTGTGGGGATCCTCAAAATAAATAAAAATTAGGATCTAAGTAGGCTATGCGACGCCTGAAAGCTTAGTCCAGACTTGCTCCGACAACACTATTCTCAAAATGGGGCATCCAGAACATAAATAAATAAAAACTGTCTAGCAACGTTAAAGCATCGTCTTTATTTGCTTCACGTTCATGACTAAGCATTGAAGAAGAGCTGCTTCGGAGATACTATACGAAGAACGACGACCAGAGATATATTGGGAGTTGGGACTAAAGAGCAACAGGTGGGAGGAGCGGCGTGCCTAACCTGTCACTCGCTCCGCTGTTGCAATAACACTGATCACATTTCCCCACCTGCTGCCGTGAAGCAGCGTTCAGTAGAAGACAACACTGCATTGCCAAACATTTTTGAACATGTGGGCACATCGTTATGGGGTCGCATTAATAAGCCAATCTCATAATGAACCAATTAGATCAGCTGTAGCTTATCTACTGATTAATTTTCTGAGAAAAAGAATATCATAACGTATTTCAATATTTATCGGAGTATACTCATCAATGGTAACGCTTTAAACTGTTTACAATCATACGAGTAGTATTTGTCTCCTGTCTCCACTGTGATTTCTCTTACAGAATTTGTTTATTGTGGCCCATTTTTTGTACCCAAATTATAATTTTCATTGTAGATTAGCTTGTAAAAATGTGCGTTCTCTCGAACAAGTAATTTAAACACGTAATTAAACCACCGCGGATTTTTATACGAGCACTGATGGCTTCTCTTTTTACAGAGAGAATTAATTTTTACGATATTCTTATTTCACTCCTCTGAATGTACAAGTACAAGCAATAATTTCATAATACCGTCCATGGTATTTCAATGAATGAGCTTTTCACATTTTTTAAATACCTACGTAGGGATGGCCTGAGATAGAGGTGATTCCAGAAATTTTAGAAAAATGTGGACAGTTGTTACCGAATTTGTTGAAGTGTCGATTCGGTACAGTTGGTCGGCGTACTGGTGTCTGGTGAGCAACAAAGACTCGACTATGGCAGCGCGACGAACGGGAGGAATTTTTATATTTTAGGCCCTTTTCGAATGCCATCTTTTATTTAAAACAGAAAAAGTTTTAGCATCTTGGAAACAACGACAAGAATATTTTAGGCTTACTGAGGTACGCAGCTGCAGTCGGAGAATGAAGCTCCGGCCTCCATCTGCCGCTTAGAATCACTAGATCAGAAAGAGATGTTAGTGTTCACAACACACTACACCATTTCGCCTGATGTATGGTGGGGCTTACAGCTATTTTTTTCTATCCTTTCTCCATTTCTATTGCTGCTGATTTGATAGTATCAGGATTAATTCAATTAGAATTGTGAAGTCTGCGGACGAGCCTTCAAGAAGTTGGGTTTTAGGAAATTCGGCAATGGTGAATTGGCATGCAAGAAAGGATTTCACTTAAGATGTAAAATGATTTTAAAGACACTTGGGTCTTAATAATGAGCCCGTTATTAACTTTCAATCAAATTAACTAAGCAAACTTTGAGTGTATCTCTCTTAGATTGTCCCCATTTTTAACTGACAAATGTTAGTATGTAATTTAACTTATGAAGCAATTGATTATTTGTCGTTAACGATTACTTAACGTTATAAATTTTGATTCGTTTCATCTATGGCAATGCTGAATATCAGTTCAATGAAGTTATAAATACAAATTTTAAGTATTCCTGTCGGCACGAAAGAGCCTGTTGGGGCGTAAAAACCCAAACTTTTTCTAAACGATAAGACCAAAAGAGCACACAGATACTGCCCTGTAACGAGGAGGTGCATAGGAAACGCTGAGTTCCGTAACAGGGACTATTGAAAATTGTGAATAATATAGTTGAATCGAAGGATTAAGGTACAAAGAATGTGAATCTGAGGGGCCTTGAACGACCAGAATATCTCAAGGCTGACAAGAGCCTTGAGTCTTAGAACTGCTGGGACGAGAGGCTATTTCAAGGGAGCACCTTCACCTATGGAGCGGTGTCAACGTTACAGATTAAGCCATTAGGCCTGTCGACGATTCTAAACATCGCCGAACTTGCACAGATTATTGAAGATCTTGCACATGTAGCTCACTGCTGCAATTCTGGTCCTCTGAACTTTAACCACTCGGCCACCTTGCCATTCAACTTGTAGCATGTGCAATAATTGGGGTCGAGTCAGAGCATTGAAACTGTTTATTGTCCCTAGAAGTCGGGCGTTGTGAAAATGAACAAGATAATTTCTTACGTCTTGACTCTTGGCGTTTTGGAAAAATTGTGACTTAGTTCTGGAAAAATTTCTTCTTAGAAAATGCACGTCACCGCAAAGACACTCACTTCAAGTCAACCCTCACAGTGAAAACTTTTTGCCACGATGACAATAGCGATAGGGAATAGCAGCAGAGTCTGGGAAACAAGAATATGCAAGGATAATATTTAATAATTAGTCGAAACAAGTAGCGCAATTATTAATGTGCTCTGAAATTTACGAGTAACTGTCTAAAACCTACCTCCAAATGTTTTTAATGCTTAGTATACGCATTATATGCTATTTGCGGGATAAGATTTATTTTTTAAATAAAAGTGCTGTTCAATACCTTACTCTCTTACCATGAAATTGTCAACAGTCCTGAGTAACATATGACAGTCATCAAATCGATAAAATCATAATGTATTAATAAACTCAAATCTCTCCCTGGTGCGAGGCAGCACGAGTCGAAGCCTGCTGTGCAAGAGTCAGCTCGTCACTAACATGTTCTTCGTGTACGAGAAATATGCAAACTTTACACGTTAGGCTTGAGGTCCATCTGCAGTAGAGCCTGAAAATAATCAGTTTAAATTATGTGATAGATGTTACAAACAGTGTAGTTATAAAAATTATCTTGGTTTGAGGATATAAACAAAGAGAGAATCATCACAACCTCATATGACAGACTTTCATCGAAGACAACTTTTTACATTAGAAGGTCATTAAAAATTCAATCTTTGGTAGGATGACAAGGTTCTTATTTTCTTGAGCATCCGAGTCCCATCCAGGCCCTCAGGTAATCCAGCGTCTTCGAAATTCTGTCGCTCTGGCCCCGACCTCCAAGAAAAGTAATATTTTTAAAGCACGCAAAGCCAAGAGCCTCCTGCCTAATCCCAGTTTTTTTTCTCGTTAAGTGGCGGACTGAGAACGGAAATGAAGCAGAGGCAATTATGAGATTGTTCGTTTTTTATTAGTCCAATATTGCTTTGCAAGGAACTGCAGTAGCTCGGTCTCTTCCTTACCGTTAGTTACGTGATTACTGAACAGGGCACCCGCATGAAAACTGAAGAAACGGTTGTTAGTACTGGAGATGTAAGTGTCCTCGATGATATTTATTAATGAGCTCAAATTCGAGATAACATTTGCAAGTTAACCCGGAACTTAATTTAGGTCAATAATAATTGATTTACCAGTATTTACTACAGTCGAAGTAGAAGCAGTCAATTTCCGAAATGGTCTGAAAAAGCCATATCATGGCAAATTAAATGGTTTAGATTTTTTCGGTGGAAGTCGCGAAACATTTTTTCGATTCAATTTAAGTTTCCATAATTTAGATTCACAAGAAACTTCCATGGCAGCAATGCCCTTCACTGTTTATTGGAATGATTCCTGTATTTTCGATTGAACGATTATAGATATGTGGAAAAAGCATGTTCTCAGCTAGATATTCTTATAGATTTAACGGCCACTGACGGATAACGGTTATACAGTCTGTCGTTCATATTTTCACTCAGAAAATTAATGAGGCTATATTGTCCAAAGAACGACATTTTCGCTCCAAAGGTATGAGCACAGCGCTGATTGATTCATCCATTTACTCAGTCCGAACTGGGTCAATATGACACATATATGAACAAAAAGTACATCGCTATTCGGACAAAGTCTCACTCATTTCTTTGAGTGCTATTGTTCCATCTTCGTCACGGTTCTCCCCATCACGCATCATCTGCAAATAAATTATTTGCGATAACAAACAATCAAAAAATATATCATTGCTTATCTGGCAAAAATCATGGAACGATATTATGACTCAGATTAGCCACATTCTGTTGATTCTTCTTCTCCAGCAGCAAAATTAAAGAGAATTTGATCTAACCCAGCGCTTCAAGATAACTCATACGAAAAGAAAATTAAAGTAAAAATTTAAGTACCTTATCGTTGTATTGAAGTAATAAACAACCTCGCAATTCTGAGAAAAAGCAATTTATTTAGCTCTGACTTCGAGAAAACTGAAGAATGAGGCCATAGCTCGGATCCTGAAAGCAAAGTTTCATGACTTATGAGTTTGATTGGGAAGTCTCATGACCGATGAGTTATGACCGAGCCAACTTTGGTCAGGTTGACCTTCACAATTGCAGAAAGTACATCGACATAAATGAATTTCACTTATTTTTTCGAAGTAAATTTATAACGTTGTATTACCACGGTTATAT